GATATGTGTACGCAGCACGTGTGGTACGGCCGCACCCATCGCAAGATGCTCATCGGTCAAGAATCATGAACTTGACGATCCGGGAAAGAACCTCCTCAACTTGCCCCATCGTGGACTGCAGTTGCAAGGGACAGCGTCTGCGGAGTGGCTTGGTCAGGTACTGGCCAAGCAGTCGATGATGTTGCTCGTTCATGGAACTGAGAACCCTGAACCCTCTGTCTATTGGGGCGATCTGGCTGTGGCCAGCAGAACCAGCCTGGGTTTGCCGAAGATCGTCAAACCTTCTCATTCACGCCAGCACAAGTCTGAGCATTGGCAATGCTGTTCCTACGTCGTCATCGTCGTCGTCGTCGTCGTAGATCGACAAGCCGTCTTCGAAAGTGAGCAGAATTGTGTACCTTGTCCGTTATATACTTGCCGAAAAGCAATTTTTAAGAAACTTTGGCAAGGTGGCCGAGTGGTTAAGGCGCAGCACTTGAATTATTTCTAGTTCTGACATGCTGTTCATTCGTGATCGTAGGTTCGAATCCTGCCCTTGTCGCGTATTTCTTTTTTCTTTGGCCCATCTCTTGACTGTTGAGTGGTATTATGGCTAAAACGTCAGAAGGTAGATGTAACATCCGAGATGGTCTAACGGTCATGATTTCCGCTTGTCACTGTTCAGTACAGAACGAGCGCGGGAGACCGGGGTTCGACTCCCCGTCTCGGAGTTATTTTTTGATCCTTTTTTTCTTCACGGTTTATAGTCCCCTCCCTCATGGACCTTTCAGATGCCACGCGCAAGTGGCTGTACATATGGTCGTTTGAATCTACGAAGAGACGCTGACAATACAGAAACAGAGTTTGTCAACCTCTTATGTGTCGGTTTTGCGCATCTTGTGTGTTCCAAGAACATCTAGAAAGACCAGTAATGGCTCACGCAAACCCAAACAAGAAAGTACACAGGATGTACTATACATACATCGTTAGGAATCGGGTCATTTGTGGAGTTCTCAGAATGGAATATAGTTGTTCAACTGACTATATATTCGCCCTTATTCTGACCAGATGCAATAACGGTGAGCCATCGAAATGGGTGCTGCTGCACCGTTGATACGCCCTCGGAAGGGTTTTGCGAGAATACAATCGAAGCACCACTGTACCCAACGGGGACAGTCCCCTGCATTGGTGCTCCTTGAGACACTCCCGCCGATTCCGTTGTCGTCGGCCTGTTGGCATTCGAGTCCCTGCCTGCCCAGATCTCCTCTAGCAAACCCAGCGTGATAACGCTGTTGAAGAAGCCCGCATCGCCATATATGATATTACACCGAGACCTGATAATCTCCCGATGAGCCTCAGAAATACACTCTGATCCAGTAATCAACATTGGCCAGAGAAGCGATGTGCTTGACTCTACGCTATTGATATAGTGCATCGAGATATGTACCAATTGCTGTATTCGAGGATGCGAGGATGGAAGTTCCGGGTACGCCAGTCGCTCTAGATAGATGAGGGCCGAATATCGGAAAGACTGCGAGATCCGTGTCAAATCGACGTAGTTGGCATGCTCCACTTCCAGAGAGTTGCTGCTGCTACCGACGCCACCGGAGGAGACAGGTCCCTCTCGCCAATATGGTGTGGACACGGCCGAGATTGGAGGAGGAAACGGCTGTGTGTTAGCGGGCCCGTGAGGTTGAGGAGATGTTGCGAACACAGGTTGAGGCTGAGGCTGAGGCTGAAAAACGTCTTCGCTATACATGGCTTGACTCGCGGGATCCGTCCGCTCGAAAGGGCGCATGTTCCAGGATTCGATCTGTCCCTTGAGTCGATACCACTGCCGCCAGAATTCGGCCTCGTGGAATTCCGGTGATAGAGTTCCAAAGATTGCTGGATTAGTGATGAATCGTTGCTGACTCTTGCGGCATTCCTGATTCAATCTGCTGATGCCGTCAAGCTGAGTGATGAGTTTGAATAATCTCACGTCGCAACCAAACGTGTTTTCAATCGTCCATTCATCGTTTCCAAGCGATAGATAATCCACAAGGCCAGGACTGAATTCCAAATTGCGGTTGTTGATGGTGGCGGTGGTGCAGTCGTAATACACGAACGTTCTGGCACACCATTCGAGCGCCTCGGAACACCTCCCAACTGCATTCCTGCGCAATGCCAGCAATTTCTTAATACCGGCAAACTGAGATCTGAAATCTCCCTGGCCCGTGTCGCAGGCGTCATACAGACACACAAGCAGCAAACTCACCAAAACACTGTCATCGTACCGTCTAACAGGATCGGCAAGCTCAGCATGGTTGAGTCGAGCTGCCTGTAGAGCAGGAACCGGAAAGGTCAGGTATGCTT